GGTATGATATGAATTCAAAAAGACGGTTTCAACAACACGCATAATCTGTAAATTGCTTATTTATCAGCATTTTTGTAATAGCAGGCTCTTTAAAAAGTAATCAACCAATATTTAAAAAAAATGTTTCACTCATAATTAATGTCCAGATCTGTTGAGTTATATTGTAGGCTTTTCTTATGTATACTTTGTCTGAAGGCCGCGACAACATTTGTGTGATCTTGTGGCTGTACAGCTGCGAACGGTTTCTGCTTTATTTGACATTCAAAGGCCCAAAACAAATATAACGGAAATACGCGCCCTTCCGAGATCGTTCTGATGGCCGGGCGCATTATTTGAATCTGGGCACTTGAACGCCCCATTTGAATCTTTTCTTCTTGATCGGGGAGATCGAGAGAAAGTACGGCTAGCTCATTATCCCAACATACACGTCGATAAACACTGAACGGTTCCGGAGAATTAAACACCTTATGTACAATCGTGACTGATGTTGAATCAACGGACCACAAACCCAGTCGTTTTATTAGAGTGTTTGTTCCCCTTATATAATAATGGTCAGATGAAATTGAGTCGATTGTTTCCAAATGATGAGTTTCCTTATCAATTTTTTCAATTCCATCTGGCTCATAGCCGGACAATTCAACAACAAAAACGGAGCAGTTTTGGTCAATGAAGCATAAAGTATTGGAATCAAAGCCGTTCATTCTGATTTTTGGACAGTGATCACAGTCAAAACTTAAACCAAAACTGTGACTAAATCGAACTTTTTTCTCATCAGCATTCCAATAAGACCAGTGAACAAATCGATCACTTGCGCAATACGGCCATAAGAAATTATTGTACTGGGGGTAAGTAAATCGTTCAAAAGCTTTGCTTGAAGAATCATACAATTTCGCAATCCGGTTGTTCAGCAGAACTATTATTTGCTCAGTGGAAATACTATTTTCTGCCCACTGTGATTCAGTATTACGCGTATTAACTGTTTCAAAAGCCCATAAAATGAAAACATGGGTAATTTCGACGTTTCTTTTCATATTTTCAACAGCGGTTTCTGTGATTATTTGACCACCATTCCTAGCAAACGTTATAGTTGAAACCGACAGCTCTTTATGATGGTTCCTCTGCACTCGGTAAATCAATAAACTGTTCAATCCATTAACGTGGAAAATCTGGTTCGCCTGATTGTGCGAACTATTTTCTGTTTCTAAAAGCTCCTCAAATTCGATCCGAAACGAATCAAACAATTTATTCAAGCTATCCGTAACAGAATTGAAAAAATCGCTTTCTTTTTTTATCGAATCATTATATCGTGATTCAAAATTCGAACAATCGTCAGCAACTATTGCAAAGTTATGAGTCAAATTAGCGTTCGATTGACTCAGCAGAGCTCTTGTTCTACCCTGTAATGAAAGCAAATCATTACACGCCGTAGTCAGCTCGCCTCTCAATCTATCATTCGTAGTCGATTTTTGATTGATTTTCTCCCGAACATTTTCTTCTAGTTTTTTAAGTTCACCTTTGATGAACTCCTCCAAACGCTGAGCTATCTCCTGATTTTTCCGAATGATTTCCAGATTTTTCTCTTGCTTGAGTCTCAGAGGCTTTTCTTTCATTTCCAAATCCGTCAATAAGTCAAACACCTTTCTTTTTAGTTCCGAACCCTTCACTTCAGCAGGCTGAAAATCATGTTTGCTGTGACTTCCCAGACATTTGTAACAAAGCGTAACGTCACAAGTTTTGCAATATTCAAGGCAGATCAAGCTGTGCGTCGAACACACAAGAGGTTTATTACCTTTGCAGTCGATTACTGAATGACCTTTTCGAATATGTGACACTAAGCAATTTTCGCAGAAGTATTCGAAACCTGAAGCTTCGTCCTGCTCTCTAGAACATGTTTGACATCGATACAACGTTTCATTGGGCAAATTTGATAAACACGTGACACATTTGGAAGTCATTTTAAACCAAGAAGAAAAGCGTGTAATAACTTGGCTACAATATTTGCTATGCAACTTTTTTGTTTTTTCTTTTACGCCAGTACAAAAACCAAATTCGCTTGAAGTTAGTTGGACGATGATAAACAAATAAAGGTATGCTAAATATGTTCGTTCAAAATGTGCTTCTTTAAATGCTGCACAACTAATTTAAAAATTACGATAACAATAAACCATTACTTGTTTGGGCCAATCCACACAGAATTGAAAACTGCGCCGAGCTGATGACCATTTTGTTTTGGCAACAGTTTTAGAAATTACATCGGTTTACTACACTGTTGCTACAACAGTAGCAAATAAGCAAAAAGAAAATAAAATTCTACTGCAAAAACTCATACGGCACCAATGACAAACTGGTGATTGTTTTAAACAATAAGTGCGGACCAAGATTTTAGTTACCTATAAGAGAAATAAATTTCGCGAGTTATGTATGAACCTCTGGTCGCTTATTTTGATGAGGCAAAATTTTCGAAAAACCGTAGAACCTAATTTTTGAATAGAAAACTATTTCAAAAATAACTTGAAAGAAAAAAAAACTACTAAAACCATTTAAAGACTTTTCTAGAATCTTTAAGGGTTATATATACAAAATTTTTTGCTAATTCGAACAAAAAATGCTTCTTTCGAGCCTTGGTCCGACGCAAAGTTGCGGTTCAAACACTCTTGCCGCTCAAACTAAATCAAAAAGCTACAAAAAATCAAGTTAGATTCTGGTTCTGGTCTACATTTGGATACTCTTATGAGACTTACGATACAATCGAAATGAGTAAAACTGTAATTGAGACTCCAAATAATAATCATAAATAAATAGTTTCCAAGTGAGGTCATTACACAAATAAAATTCAAACAGAGAGGCGAAGATAAGCTTCGCAAACACTTGCGAGAGCATGACTAAAAAGCAGCTTTATCAAGTGAAAGAAGTAGAAATAAACCTCGAATTAGCAAAAACTCGGCTACGTGTCGGATTCGAATCTGCGACCTAGCAAATTTCGGTCTCACGCACTAACTAACTACTCAGCCACGGATGCTTACAATACCCAAAACCTAGCCACCAATAACGCAGATACATATGCAAATAAATTTTCAATTCGAAGCAGCAAACGTAGTACCAAATACAAAAAGACACAATTTTGCATGTCATAAATTGAAAAGCGTAAAGCCAAACTATGTATAAGTTCAGCATTTCAAAAAATTGCGAAATACATTGGGTTGGAAAATTTCTAAAATCAAGATTTTTATCCTTGTACTGCTGTTTTAAACCAATAACTTTTTTCGGTTCATTTGATGAACTAAAAATGCATCAGCTTTGTTACCTTTTTGGTAAATATCGCCAACTAACTGTTGCAAAAGAGTAATGAAGAAAAAAAATAGATGGCCTTTGAATTTGTAGAACAATTTATGATGAACACTTTTGTGATAAAACTAACCCAATTTGAGAAACTTTTATTTCGCTGGGAAAACTGATAATTAATTTCCATTTTCGAAACTAGAAGTCGATCACGTTTTTCGTGACCTTAACATTTTTGCTGTTCTTTTAACAACCTTTGCCATCCTTTTAACAAAGGAAATCCACTGACCGTAACAAAATCACAAGTCAAACCGCAGAAAAATCAAAATAGAGCGTGAACAAATTTTAGACTTTGTCCTGAAAAAAAAAACAAAAAAAAACAGCAGGACCAATATAAGAGTCTTCACTACGTTCATTTGTCAAAGCACATATTATATTATACTGCTACCGCCGCCAACTGATTCACAAAAGCCACCAAAAGTAGCACTTTTATTGGCAATTTAGGCTGTAAAAAAAAGAAAATTCGTACTAACACACTTTGCTTGTAAATAAGGAATTTTGATTGGTTATCGACTATTTTGAGTTGTACAGAAATAATAATGAGATAAGAACACTGTTATCGTCTAAAAAATTCAGCTAGTCACCACTGGAGAGACCGCCGTATGATTATTATTTTGTTTCTCAAGTTTTAAAAATTCATTCACCGTAATAAGGGCGAACGCTTGGCAAATCAGAACATCACGGTGTATGCTCTTCCAAAGTAAAGTATCAGAAAAACTTAACAGAAAATTCATTAACTAGATGAAATAGTTTCATTCATTCAATCTGACAAAACCATGATTGAAGCTCACCAAAAAAGAAAATCTGAGAAGCCACATTTTCAAGACATTGTGCTAAAAAAACATTTGCGAACTTTTTGAAAAATTTGAACAAATAGTCACATTTTTTACGCGGCAAATTTAATTGTAATGTCACAAAAAAAACTTGAGAAAAAATATGTAAGTTCCAAAATCTTTTCAGCACAATAAAAGCCTTGGCAAAAACTTTTTTAACAGTTCTTTAATGACTCTAAAAATATCACCTCATATTCAGTGACGTTAAAAAATGCGACTGAAAGAATCGCACTCTGCGTCAATCGGGGTTGATTTTTCAATGCCAAGATTGAATCGGTTCACTTTTCAAATCGAAAACTCATTTGTTTTTAAGTTCGGCAATTTACAAAGAACTTATAAGCAATAAAAAGATATCTACAAAAGGAGTTCATTTAGCAAACCAACTCAATAAATTGAATTTATAGAGGAAACTTAAAATGCAGGTGATAGAATTAGGGCCTTCTAAAAATAGTAATCAAAATTTATTCCAGAATTAAGATCATATGACTAGCTGGACTTTTCAGTCGATAAAAGTGTTCAGATCTCATTTGTAGTTCTGTACAACTTGAAATAGTCGGTCAACAAAAAACTGAACTTCAATATCGATATTTCAGAAAGTGAAGCCAAAAAAATCGACACTCAAAATCCTAATTTAATTCATTTCATTGAAATTTCCAATAATTCCAGGGCGGATTTTAGGGATAAATCTATCCTACGCGCTTTTCAACAAGACTTTTTTCAAGAAAAGAACTGTTTCTGAAAAAAAATCATCTCAAAAAAAGCTGAATTTTCTATATTATTTTAGAATCAGTCTTTCAAAATTTTACAGTCATTTTGGTGGCATTTTCAGCATTGTGATTTCAAATAAAATCCTTTTTTCGCGTCTAAATTCCTAGATCCGCGTCTGTATCAATAGTTCCATTTGTTTCAGATTCAATTTACAAAAAAAACTGATTATTTCTCTTTCTGAGGAACGTATCAACCACTACAAACAGGTAAAGAACATCGCTTAAATTTTTTAACTGATCGTAATAAAACTACATCTCAGAAAATCAACAAAAAGCACTCTTTGAGTTCTTAATTCAATCGGAAAAGTTAGAAGAAAACGTGCCAGATGGCTTTATTTTGCTTCAACTATATTAACCTCGGGTTTTGAGAAAATGGTCTTCGTGTCGAAAAAGCTTAAACTCTAATCCTCTCGAAACTCAATTGATTCAAAAGATATTAGAAATCGAAATCCATGCTTGTCTGAAAGTTATTTGATGTAGAATTAGATCAATACAACGTAACAATCAAACTCACCCGGAACACGATATTTTCTTCAAGCGAAAGTAGATTAAACATACGAAAAAAATGTCACAAAAATAAATATAAAAATTAGTCCAGGAACATATATCTAAGTAACACTTTCATTCCAAAATTCGTTGAATAAATAATTGCAAAGTATTAGATTTTAAACTGATGAAATTCGAACAGAAAATGTTAACTCCCAGATCCCAAAACCCTCTAATTTCCAAGCAACAATCATAAATCTATTATACAGCCACTACGTCGAAAAAAGCACAATTAAAAAAGTTTACTGATGCTTAATTCAGAAAAACACGTTCAGCAAAACAATCACCGGCGTGTAAAAAGCATTCAAAAAACTGACCGTGCAAAAACTAAGCTATAAATTTCCGAAACACTAAGGTTTTGATCTTTTTCAGTTTCCGGAGGGGAACAGGGCCTTTAAATTTTGTTTCCCTTCAAACGATGCAATAGACCGCGTTTGTGATAATAAACAAAAGACCAAGTTTGTGCTAATAAATTACAAATTAACGGAGAAAAGCATAAGCTCTTGAAACTATAATGAAAATTTCTTACAGTACAACAAATTACTAATAGCATGTGATGTGACAACTAAGCCGACAAAACAATCAGACAAACGATAGGTAGACCTACAACTTTTGAGATGGAAGCTTTTAAATTTGAAAAACAGGTCCTGGACGGATTCGAACCGAGGACCTTTGCTTTCCCAGACGTAGTCCATTCGGCTTTCAAACAGAATCTCATTTACTTTCTTGAAAATTTCATCCTAATCACGATATTTAGAGATCCAAACAAACAATTTATTGAAAAACAACAAGAGCAACGGGCGCAAGTGCTTATTCAAGGAATAAAATAATCCATCCAAAACTTGCGATACAATATAAAAAATAGCATGATATACTAGGCGACAGAATGTCAAGAAAAAAATGAAAAAGAAAATTATCAAAAAAACTAGATCTACCAAAATTTTGATGTGATCTCGAATTGTCTTGAATAAACTTCATCTCGAGAAATACAAACCCATTATGGGAAACGTCATTGGCAGTGTTTAAATAGCATTGGAGCATAATTAACAAACCGGTAACAATACTGTCAACAATGGAGTAGACACCCGTTCAAAAACCTCAAAAAACAGTTTTAGAGTCTCTTCTTATAAGACACACACATGTACAATAAACTTTTCTGTTCACCAAGCGATGCAATATTGGGCAACTAGGCCAATATAAAGTAAACTGAAACCATTAACACTAAGTAAAGCGAAAAAAGTCAAAATGTGAAATCATATCACATCGGAGTTGGTAAATATACAATCGACATGAAAAACAAATTTCGAAAAAAGCTGTTATTTAAAATGCAGACATGCTAAAATATATTTAAAAAAGTTGACCCAAAAAGATTCAGTGATTTTTTTGGACAAGCTCTAAGCCAAATAAAATCAATCATTCGATAACGCTAATCGCAAGCGAAAAAAGAAACAGAAAAAATTTGGAGATCTTTTTGATAATTTTTCATTGTTTGGTAAGATTTTGTAAGATATTAAGCTTCGCGAAAAAAAATACTCCCAGGTTATAAACAGGGTGACCACTTCGGGCGTGAAAAAATACAGACTAGCCTGAATACGCAGCGAAAACTAGTATTCCACAAAAAATTTATTTCGAATGATAGTTTAAATTACAACAAAAAAAGAACAAAATGATTATTTCAAGATCACGTTTACAATCTTCGCAATCTTGTCCACGTTTACAATAAGGAGAAAATTCAAGAAAGCTAGCAATGGGATACTATACGTATTGGTTCAAAGCCGTTCAAAATAGAGGACGCACCAGAGAATTTTGTGATATTTTTCCTTTTCACAAATTGAAATTTTAGTAGGCATATAAGAATCATTTTCCTACGAATTCGGTATATATGACCAATTAACTTTTGTGTCGATTCCGTCAAAAATGAGTCTTTTATTGGGCCCTTATTGAATTGAAATTTTATGGAATACAGGTACAAAAAAGGCATCTGTTTCAAAATTTTTGAAAAACCCAAACCATCTAGCTGCAAAAAAAGTCGAGACATGATTAATGAAATAGAATATTTTTCCATGGTAATAAATTAACAAATACTCTCCGCTAAGACCTAATGACATCCAATTCTGTAGATTATGAAGGTCATTTAGATGATCCCATATCAGCGAAAATGATCTTTACAATTGAGAAATACTAGTAGCCTAACTCAAATCCACTGAGGCTATGAAAAAAGCTTGGTCGCTTGAAAAAAAAAGCATACAGTGGCCACAAATAAAGCTGATAGAACATATGTTATTAAATTGCTAAAGCTTTGCAGCAAAAGTTTCACCAAACGAGTCCTCAGATCATATGTCAAATTTCATTCTAATTGGATATCACAATTTAAATTTTCCCAGTAGAGAAATCGATAGTTTTGAGAAACAATCTGAGCCAATTCAAAATGATGAATTTAATGTTTTGTAGATCTTTAAACTAAAAATCTTCTGAAATTTTCATTTCAGATACTGTCTCTATTTAAATCGGCGCTTAAACGGCGACGAAAAAGTAGCATTTATCTGCTCGCTTCGGTAACAAATTTACTATTTACTTAACTGAAGATTGTCTAAGATACCCATTTCATAAACGGTGTGGTGTATCCATTCAACTTGGCACTAAAAATTGTTCTTTTGCGAAAAATAAAATGGATTAAGTGGTAGATTGATGAAGCAATTTATCATTCTAGATATCTAGCTTCTCAACTGTTGAGCAGCTTTCAGCCTTGGATGCTCTTTCTCTCTCCTTCTATTGTGTCGACCAGATGGTCTGGCTTCTCGACAATGGATAACCGCAACCTGTTGCTCATTTTGACATGTCTGCTGCTATCACTGGGCTGTGTGGCATTGTGTGTTGTGTACTACTGGAGGAAACTGATCGTGGTCAATAAAAACATACCCGGGCCAGAACAGTCGTGAGTTCACATTGAAGATTTAAAAAATAAATTGGAATAAAAATAAGAAGCTTCTGAACAAACCATGTATGATATTCAGATGATATTTCTAAGAAACGCATGGAAAAACTATCAGCCATTAAAAATAATAGATAAAATAATACAATTTTCTACCGGTTAATTTTTAAAAAAACTCTAGTATTTATTGCACTTTTGACTACTTCGATTTTTCCCAACAACCTCAGGAAAACTATCAGCCAAAAATATTTAGATATAAAAAGACTATTTTATACTGTGTCATTTCTCAAAAAAGCCGAGGTCTTCTTTTAATTTTGGCAAACTTTGATTGGATTGCAATTTAATATATTGATTGTTCCAGCATGGTGTCTGGAAACTTGTGTGAAATCAGGAAACTCAACAAACGAAACCTGTCCTTCCAACTCATTCTCAAAAAATGGTAAATGACTTATTCATTATTCCCATCGTAGTTAATAATTGCATTTTAAAGCGCCGTGAGAACACATAAATTAGGCAGAGTTAGAAAAAGATATGTCAAATCGAACCTTCTCGACATTATTCTGTAAGATTTATTTCATTTTCATGTTCTGTGATGTAAGCTTCATTCTAAACTAACCTTTTGTGATAAAAACTGATTGACATTGGTTTAATATACTTCTCAAAACAGACTTTAAATCAACATCACAATTCCTCTTATACCTATTTATTAGCCTGGGTATCTTTTCTTTTTTAAATTTATACATTTGCTATTTGTTTTTCAGGCACGACCAGCACGGAGATCTGTTCAAGTTCCGAGTGTTCCACATGTCAGTGGTGGTGGTCGCAGACCCCAGGGAGATCCGAGTAAGTTCCGCAACAACTGGCAAAAATCCTATCCAAACAAACATCTATCCTAATCTTAACTTGCTTAATTTTGTCCAAACAGCCAAACAAACAATCTGCTGATGTCTGATCATGGATTAAACATATATGCTAATCAAGAATCCAAGTGATGGAAAAAATATAGAGACGAAAATTTCATAAAACCTTTCAAAAAACTCCTTTTTCTTGAATTTCTTCTTGTTTTTCTGCCGATTTCTTCAATTGTTTTTCTAGAACGGAATCAGATTAGTTTTTCTAGAACGGAATCAGATTAGTTTTTCTAGATCGAAAGATCCTTTGATCCAACTTGAAAAAGATGCTTGAAGCATTTATTGAAAACTAAACCGGCCTTCACGAAAAAGCTAACCAGTACTTTGGTACGAGAAGCTATATCAACGACAGCTGATCGCAATCATACTACTTTCAATAAAGGATAGAGGCTATATCCTAATATTTTCCTTTGTGTTTCCAGCGCCTCCTTGCCGACGGAGACAAATTCCCGAAGTCCCGAAGATACGAGGAGTTCAACGACCTCTATGGAACTAGGTACAAAATCATTTCCCATTTTAACTTGTACAAAACAAAGCGACTATTAGAAAATATTCAATATTAATCACTATTTGCCAAGATATTATTTAAATTCTATGATCAATTGCATGATTCTAAGTACCATTGCATCACCGAGATATATTTACATCGTTACTTGAAATATTCAACTAAGCATGTCAACTAAGATCTTGTATATCTGCAGTAACTATTCAGTAACCATTCAGTAATTTTCAGGACTGAAGTACTGAAAACTTTCAGGACGGAATTCGATAAGAGCTTCTACACATTTTGGAGCTCTTTGGGAGAAAAAAGCGGATAGATGGATATTAATAGAATGTAATAGTAACAGTTGGGGGTAACAGTTTAGATCTTTTAGGTTTCCTTTCAGGTTGATTCCGCAGGGCATTCTCGTGGAGCAGAACCAACAGACTTGGCTCATCAAGCGACGCATCCTAAACACATTCTTCAAACGCAGGTCAGTCAAGCTCACTTTTTATAAGATTTTTTTAAGATCATTTATCCACGAGGGAAAGGACCAACATACGAGCTGTACAGCCCATCACGGCGAACCGCTGTTGTGCCCCTGCTTAAGAACTACATGCAATTATTTTTTTGGTTATTTTACTGGGCTGGGTAATGTTGCCTCACCCTCAAGCAACGAGCACTTCTTTACGAATAACACACACGTCAATGAAATAATAAAATCTTGAAATAAAACACACGTAAATACACACGTGAATAAATTATTACACGTGAGAATCCAATAAACACGTGAAAAAAACTGAACCAAAAAAAAATCAGAAACAAATAAAAAAATAAAAGCGAAGAATAAAAAATAACTGGAAAGAAAAATAGGACGTTTGAAACGGTCCAAATTTTCAAAAATGCTCTCATAGGCTTGTAAAGAAGCTGTAGATTTTTCAATACCGTTAATTTTCATTATGAATCTGCTTGAACATAGCTTATTATGTTTTCAAAGATCAGATACGACTTCCAAAATAAAGAATAAGATTCATAAAAAGAATATGGAAACTGGGAATGAATATCTGCTGTTGATGCTCTTGTTTACATTGTTTGTTTGTTTTTCGCGTGCAGTGCGATCGACGACTACCTGGAGTGTTTCAAGGAGTCAGCTGACAGACTGGTGGGTCGCATCCAGGATATCATGGCCAAGCAGGGGGACAGTCAGGAACCCATAGCCCTCTACCCTCTGCTCACAGAAACTGCACTTGATAGTGTACTCAGGGTGAGAACCAACTAAACTTCTTATTAGTTTTTTTAATAGAGAACAAGTTGCACTTCGCATACACAAACCCCCATAAATAACCAACAATTGAACAATACTTTTGTCTTCAAAGAGAATAATTCGGTATTTTGTTAAACGACCCAAAATTAACAATTTATTGTATGAGCTACTGTTCTTATTGAAAATCCATGTTCCAATTAGCTGGAATTATTTTTAACCAATCAGTTTTGAGCATTATGATCCAATTTAGAAAACATCAAAAAGACCAGTTTTGAGCGATAAAACAGAAAAAACCCAATCAGTCGAACATCGGCTGAGACTTAATATTGTTACTAGCTTCAAAAGAGATCAAACGCAAAAGAAAACGAGCTTAAATTTTTCAACCAAAAAAATCTTTCTTTGAACTCTTCAAAAAATTATGAAAACTTTCATTAGCATACCGAAATTATAATTGCAAAATAATAGAAACTAAAAAATAACTAGCCAAAAACTATAAGTGTACCATAATAGTGTTCTCTTGACTGATTCAGGCACTGTTCAACCTGCACATAGACAAATTCGAGGGTCTGGCGGAGAAGGTGGGCAAGATATTCCCAGCGATGCAGGCACAACTCAGAAGTCCCCTCCGAAAAGTGAGCAGTCAGATTAATATTTAACACTTTCCCCTGACTTACTTTAAAACCAATCTTGAATTTATATGTTATTTTAATCTGTCTATGAATTTGATCGTGTCAAATACATACTATACTGATCCACGAATAATAATAATAATAGTTTACACTCCTTACTTCTTGTCTTCGGTAAAGATGTCAAACTGTTTTTTCTCGACACGCAGAAATCTTCATCGGAATTTGCCATTGCACCGCTTATTTCAGCCAACACGATTTCACTCAAATCTAGCTGACCTTTTTATTTAACCGGGATTTCGATGGGGGAAAACGCCCAAATCTGACGTTCCTCCACACTTCCAGTGGTCAAAAACTATCATTTTTAAAAAATCTAATCCTTGGTTTGATTGGCAGGTGTTCCCTGGTGATAAGGAGAAAGAGGTGGCCCAGGTGTTGACTGAGATCCGAGAGGCCTGCAAGGACATTATCATGCAGAACTTGGATAAGAATGTGGGACTGCTGAACAAGAACTTCTGCGAACAGGCTCTATACGGTCAGTCAAGAAGTCAAGAGCTGAAATTTTCTGTTCACGCATTACTGGAAAGCACTTGAAAAATCTTGCCGTAGTTTTTACCTACTCCTTCCAATAACCTTTTTCTTATTGTCCGAGCCCAAAGTCTCAACAATAACTGATATTTTGCTGCTCGATTCTAACTTATGAAAAAAAAGAAAAATTACTCTAAAACAGTATAAGTTTTATTGAAGTTTTCATTAAAAAAATTATAACACATTTCCGATTTGCAGAACTAATTTATTTCTAATGAAGAGTCCACAAATTGATAAATTGGCACACAAACGTAACAGCGAGAAAAAAATTTATGAAGCAAAAAATCTATTTCTGAGTTTAACAATTGATATTTACCTTGACGATAAGTTCTCGCATTGAGGAAGTGACAAACTTTTATGACGCTTTTACCAAAGATAATTCAGCGAAAAAATGGCAAACAAATTCTAAGAAGCGAAAAAATCCAATAGCAAGCTTGACAATTGTGCTGTTAATTCTAGAAAGTTCCCACATAGACGAAGTGGTAGACGATGTGTTGGTGATGGTCTTGGCAGGCACTGACTCCACGGCAAACACTCTCGGATTCCTGCTGAGGGAAATGTGTCACCACAAGCCATACCAAGACAGGTAACCCCCCTCCCCCCCCCCCCCCCCCCGGATCCCTTATTCTCTTTACATATCTAGGCTCCAGATCCAACCTTCCCCCTTGGATCACTTTTTCTCTTCTGGGATCTAGCATATCTTGGTTCCCTTATCTTAATTGTTGTAAGCTCTATTAATTTAACGCCAGACACCAGATTCAAGTTAAATTGAGTATATTTTTAAATATCACAATCACAGAACTAGATGCGAGCAATTCATTTGTTCTCAAAATAATCATACTGATATTTATACAAAAAGCCCATTGTTTCAGTCCTTTGTAATCATTTTCTAATGAACCTCAATTTTGAGCTAGTTTTTAAGTTCACAAAATCCCCAAAATGCCCTGAAATTACTCAAAATTCAAAAAATACTCGATAGACAACTAACTGGCCTTTTTAGTTATACTCCAAGATGGGGATTTTTTTTGGATAAATTCTGCAAGTTATACACAAAATGTTCCCTTCTTGAAAACAAATTTATTATTTATTTATTATTTATTTAATTATTTTTTGATAAATTCTGCAAATTATACACACTACTTGTTCCTTACTTGAAAACAAATAAATTATTAAAATGACCTTAAAATAATCAGACATATTTACAGAATGTCAGATGAGATCCGAACAGCAATGAGTTGCAAGGATCACTTTCCCACTCGGAACTTCCTCTCCAAATTGGTGTTCACGCAGCAGATGATCAGTGAAACTCTGAGAAAATATCCGACCATCTGTGGGACCACCAGGACTTGCAAAGAGGACACTTTAATTAATGGACTCATGGTCCCAGCTAACACCATAATTATGGTACTACTTTTTCCTTTACAATTCGCCCTCAATTTTTGCCCCAGAAGGTAAAGCAATGTGCCCGATAAATCAAAATCTGGCAATGTAAGCAAATGAATGAGCTTCACAATTTCAAGTGGTTTCTCATTAATTTTTGTTTAGATCGCTAAAAATAGTCATCACTTGTAACTTAATCTAGTAATCATGGTAGTTTAAGTCGACCATACCAAAAAAAATAAACCATGAGTAAACTTGAAATTACTGACTGAATGTTGTATTCAAAATCTCAATGAAATTTTCAAAAAGTCGCTATTAAATTGATTCTCCATTCAGTAGTATTCATGTTTTTTTTTCCTCAAAAATTGATGCTTAGACTTGATTCGCAGATCAAAGTGGTTTTTATAATAGTGAAAGGGAACCCTTTTTGTCGTTCTAGATCAGCACCTATTTGGTGCATCATAATGGCAAATATTGGAAGAACCCTTCCAGTTTCAACCCCGGCAGATTTGCAGCACAAATCAGAACCCCCCATGTGGTCAAAATTGTGACAACCCCCCAAGATGAAGGAAAAGTGGACAGAGCAGAAGACGAAGAAACCGATGAGAACCAGAACTTGATCCGAAAGCGTAATTCCATACCCGAAGCGAGCGAAATTCCCGGCGGAAACATATTTCTTGCTGAGGCAAAACTTCTGACAAAAATTATCCCAGCTTCTATATTGGAAAATTCAGTAGATAAACTGCATGAGCAAATTACGGTCGAACAACCGGATGCGACCTTTAAGCCGACAGAGCAAACTAGCGACGAAGCCGAAAAAGAAGAAAATGACCCGATTAAGAATGGATGTTATTTACCCTTCTCCAGAGGTCAACGCGTATGCATTGGAGCAAATTTTGCGAAGGTAACTATAAACACTTGATTATGACTAGGGCTTTCTTGACGTTATTGTAATGTTTCTACTCGAATTAACCAAACTCAAATGTTTTCGACAATCACAAAATTGAACTATAGCTGTCTTTAACTATTTCAAAGTGCTTTAAAAACAAGTTCACCCCACTCTGTAGCAGAGTTTCGCCCGACATTAAAAAATTTTTGCTAAAAAAAAAATCTTTTTGGGCAGGCAATTGAAATACATGCGTGTCGTAAAATATTCTTGCTTGTCGTATTGTTAAGTCAAACTTCTTTTTGTAAGAAAGTTGTTGTTTTTTAGATGGAGATGCAAATAGTGCTGGCGCGTCTCTTATCCGAATTTGACATGGAATGTGACAACAACTCAACCAGTTTCCAAGAAGTGCTCGCTCTAAGACCAGATGACTCCGTGCCAATGCGAATCACAAAGCTCCTCAAACGTTAATTACCTTCTCCGTTCAGATATTCCCCACAATTTCCTGCTTTTACATAAAAATTATGATTCAACGTGATTAATAGAAAAATCAGAGAACTGTCAAGCCTTTACAGCTTGAGAATATTTAGATTAGAAAAAGAGTCTATAACAACAACACAAGTACTTGATGTTAGTTTGTTGCATCAAGAAAAAAGTTCATTACCAAGAAACCATTTTCAGCACCGTGAATTATATTTCTGGCTTAGCAAATCGATGAATAGCCGAAGAGAGACAGATTGAAGGAATGTTGAAATACAATCTGACTAACTGGAAACGAGTATCTCAATCCTGATAAGCCATTTGCTCAATTTGGGAATGATTTTGTCTTCCACATCAATCAAATTTGTGGTGTGCAGTTTTCATATCAAATTCAATTTTCTATATTTTCATTTTAAACAGAAGCGAAGCGGAACGAATGTTCAAAATGGCATTCTTAAATAAGTATGACAGCAGAAATTTGAAACTGAGCCCGCTGCTGTGAAATTTAGGCCAACAAAAATAAATAAACGGACACATTATAGCCTGAAAGTTAAATTTTTTAAAAGCAGAAAATTTGCTATCGAGCCTACGCCCTATGTTGTTGCTCCAAGCAGAAACAATAGCTCCACGATGAAATTTTTTTAAACAAAAATTCAAGATTTCAAAAGGGAACTAAAATATCAATAAAAATTGCCACATAGTTTAATGGCTACCAGTCGTTTTATTAGAATTTTCCAGATATTCAAAAAATTAGCATGTCGTCAGCACTTAGTATCATTAATTCAATTAAACAAGTAGCTACTCTGAAAAATGTCTATGATCCGATTTGGTAAGGCTTGTTAATTGCAAGCGCATTTTTATCTCAGCTACTAAAAAAAATCATAGCCAACACAAAGTTGGAAAAGTGCTTATGAACCTAAAGAAAACAAAAAACACTCAACTTAAATACTCTTAAACACTCAACGAAAAAATATTTGGCGTTGAAGCTTTTTAAGTTTCAAGAACAATTTATGATATAACCCTAAAATCATCACGACCTTTCTCCAGTTCGCTCATTGTCACTTATGAAATTATTATACTCGCAGTTTAAGTTAGAGTTTTCAATTGAAGCCATATTAAATCAACACAAATTCAGAGAAGAACGTTAAATGTTTAGCATAGTTGAATAGAAACCTTATGTACACGTTTTTTTCAATTTAAAAAACAATCATGAGTTTTGACTTCCCAGGTACTCCACTAAACCTGCTAAGGCTTTTACACGATGCGAAATTTTATCTTTATCGTCTTTCGTCATTTCGCCGTAAGTCAAACTTGAGTCCTTAGGCAGAAAACAAGGATCAAAGCCAAACTCCCTGGATCCACGAGGTGACACTATTTCGCCGTCTATTTTGCCCGGAAACAATTTGACAGGTTCTCCTGGACCTTCACAGTATCCAAAAATAGTTTGAGCTACTGCACTTTTGTCATCATAAGCACCCAGTAGTTTAAACAGGCCTTCAGGTCCCAACTTTTTCAGAAACCATTTGATATAAACACCAGGGAGTCCATTCAATGCGTTGAAACACAGACTGGTATCTTCGATTATTACAGGACCCGAGTTCAAGGTTTTAACTGCCTCTAAGGTTTTAAGGCGCGCTACTTCTTCGGGAGATTCTGTTGAAGCGCTGGAATGATTAGATTTTAATGGCCGCTTTCAAATATGTAAGAAAAAAAAACAATTTCGGATATGCTTGCAACATGCCTATTAAATTAGCAAAGCCACTTGTGCAAAAAGATTTGTATACTAATACGAGTATTCAGTTGCGTATGAAGCATATACTGTTTCGAGAAGGACCTGTTTTCTAGCAGACCAGTTTTTCGCTGAAAAAGTAAAATATAGGGCTTGTTGCAGACTGTGATCGATAGCATTTCAGAACCTAGCCGAGCAAGCGGTCCCTACATACCGATTCCGCGCTTAAAGATAGCGTTCGGACTTGTTATTTGTTTTAAGTCTTCTAAAAACTGGTCTACTAAAAAACCTGTCTGCTAAAAAACCTGTCTGCTAAAAATCTGTCGCCATTATGTTGAGTATGAGAGAGGATTTAAATTACTTTTCATCAGTAAGAAAACAATCGCTCAAAGAAACCATTTTATAAAAGAGCAAAATCAGAATAATCCTTTTTCTTTCCCATCCACTTCTCTAGTAGCAAATTTATTAAATGATCATACGCAGTAGAACAAATCAGATCACATTTTTCTCGACCCAAAAACTCATTGAAAGGCTATTACGAATTCCAAATCAAGGTACAAATAGCCTTCATGTGATGCAGCACTCAACACCGAGTGAGCATCTTTCAACAAGTTGAGCCCACTCGGAACAGACCCCAAGCTATACCATAGTTCTAACTTGTGTACACTTTTGCTTTATAACACTTTGCAGACATCATCTAATCATTCCTGCTTGATATTCCGGAAGATCAATATCAACAGCTTCAATTTCGATATCCGTGTTTCTGAGATTGTACCGAATTTCCTTGACTTTATTTTGACTACTAGATACCAACTTCAAGCACTTCATGACCTGAAAAACTAAGAGAAATGATGGCTAAACGATTGTCATGATTAGACAAAGCACATTCGATAGAACTAGTCACAACTAATTGCAATTTGACTTTATTTCGAAAACGTTTTTCGAAATCTCGAAAAAACGGCGACCGGTTTCAATTATTCGTCAACGCATGCAGGTGAATTTTTGAAGGAAATGGGTTAGAATACGGTTTCAGAATTTCGGAAATATGACTTACAAAAAAAAATAATTTAATTTGTAGGATTTAGAACCAAAAAACATGTGATGTTTAGATTTGATAGACAATCATCAATAAAACAGAAAGGTGACGTTGTTTTCTAATTTATAACAATAAAATTGGCTCCGAAACTCAGAGAGGACTTGAATTTGTTTGATAAAGGAAAATATGAGGTAGTATGCGTTGAAAGCGAATCGAACTTTTTAACGTTGCGAGTAGAGAAACAAAGTTGATTAATCTATTAAAAAATTTTAATTGATTTTTGACAATTAACAACCAATAACGCATGCAGGATAAAACTCATGCGTCATTGTAACATAAATAACATGAACAAATCAGAAAAATACAAGTTGGAGTCCAATATTGCTCCATATGTTTTGAAAATTTTCGGCCAGAAGGATCAAGCGCGAGTGAGAGCTTCGGCAAAAACTCATACGGATTACCTCAATCGTAACTCTGAAACAAACGGAAACGAATTTTGTTTTGATACATTTGATAAAACAGATCATTTTGTTTCACTTGTAAAAAAAAATTGACCGCGGAAAGAGAACGACAAAAGTTATTTTTACTTTCACCAAAGATAATTAACTTGAATCAGAGTTCTGTAAAACTCTTTTCGTTCTCCCTTAGTTTCAGTAATTACAACGCGCTGACCTACAACCCAAGTTTTCAATGCTAATACCTTTAATTTCTCACGATCTTCACCAACATCTGCCAATTAGAAAAGAAACTTGTTCGTAATTTTACAGCTAAAAATGTGCCGAAAACGTAATCGTTCAGGTCAGAGTGCAAACAAAAGATGAAAGTGAGCATAGTCAAATTTTAGCTTATCGCAATAAAAAAATTAAGATAATTGGCAAAACTAACAACATAGTCGTGAACAATTGGTCATTTAATACAAGCCAAACAAGAAAAACATCCCAAAATCTTCACTCGCTTCTGAAAACAATTCAGCAAAACTGAAAACTGATCAACCAAGTTCTTGATTCCTGTTCAACCAGCAGCAAAATTGCAGCGCTACGTAAATTATTCAATGAAATTGTGACATTCGACCAGAATTTACCAAAATGCAGATTCGGCGATTTCGAGTTTTTAGCAGCGAACCTTCTGAATTGGCGATTTAGAAGGATTAAGAACGTTATTCGAACGATTGGACAAATCGTGAAGGCTGAAGGATTCGGAAATTCCTAAATTTTAAATTTTCGAAGTGATGACGTAACAATTCTCAGAAACGTCAAAAACGGTCATTTTGGAAAAACAGAAAAGAAACACAACAACATTAGTTGCGATAGCGATCACAACGAAGATTGTGATTGAAAATTAACAACGAGTTGCAGAAGTCGCAGAGCCCGCTCCGAGTTGCAACTATTGTGTCGCTACAATAGTTGCAAGGCCATTGCGAACAACAGTGAAGGGTGGAGGACTGCCTTCCAGAAGGAAGATAGGACTCTTATTTCACCGGATTCGAGAATCCGGAGGGGTTTCGGGACTGGAACTTTTTTTATCTTGTATTAATTTTAAGCTTCCTTGTCATGTCCTGAGTTGAATTTAATTAACAACTGAAGTCATTTTGATAAGGATCAGAAGCTAGGAGTTGGGTGAAAGGGTGATCCATCTTCGATGGAGATGATGATTTTTATCTACTGAACAAAAACAATAATAATTCAATAAGTAGTGGTAGCCCTGTTTTTAGGAGTGACCTCGTGGTCTGGGGATAATGAGTCCCAGCCATGAGCTCACTAATTTTGCATGTAATTAAGTTTATTTGAGTGCTTTGACCGAAGCTAAAAGCAGTAACGTTTTTGTCGACCCGATGTTGGAAAAGACCACCAAAAGAACTGGCTTTGGTAGAGAGGGTGAAAAACACGTAAAGTTCTGTTTAGACGTTGGCCAGTCGTCTTAGGACCTAGCTTTATTTTCCGTTGATATGTATCTTCCGGGCGAATGTTACAAATGTTAACCCATGATATAAAAATTGCAAAAAATTTTAACTAAGTATTATTAAACTTTGTAAAAGTCGCCTACTTAAGTCACATGAGGTTTAAAAAAAAGGCCTATAACCATTGGCTTAAGAGTCAGAGACACTATCTCTTGTGTTTTTCTACCTCAAGCGGTCGAAGCCGATATGGTTCACTTGCGACATGAGACTAAAACCCGTTACAGCTTAAAGGCCAGTACCAAAATCCCCCCTCTATGTGCCATTCTGCCAGACTGGCACATGTGCCAGTCGGTCATATTCGGAAGTTTGACCTTGAGAGAAGAAAAAAACACTTGATTTTGGAGTGAAATTTAGTTTTTCAAAATTTCGAATGGAACCTGTCATGCACGATTTTCTCGCGATAACTGAAAATCAGAAAAAGAGAAGTCAGAACGATCGAGTAACAATCGCGGGAAAGTTACTAAATAAAACAGTGGGAGATTGCTATTCGCAATTTCTGTCACAATAGAACAAGAGTAGAGCTGTCCCATCTAAAACAGAGACGAGAGCATTCCCACGAACTGGATTGTTGTGACTGGAGTACTATTATTAACTGGACCAGAGTGAACCTTCGGTGGAAAGGTGGACAGCTAGAGTGTCCCAATGGTTCACGAGAACTTACAGTCTAGAGTAAAAACTTGTTCTTATTATTAAAACTGACTAACGTTAAACTCATTTTAGTTACTTTATTAATTCTTGAGTTGCTTACCGACTTATTTACTTCCTGGTTCTTGAGCGTGCTACAATGTGAGTACTTAATTTAAATTCCTAGAGTGTGTTTTATAATGGTTATGTTGAGGTAAGGCGAGTTTTAGGTTGATCCATCTGAAATGGATCAAGGTTCCACTGTCTAATAAAAAGTAACTTAACGGATTGTTCCAACCCGGTTTTTAACGGCGTTCATGTATTTTGGGTATCTAGAGACCTAAGTATGGGGACGTTTCTAATTCTAGAGTGGGGGGATATTTTAGTAGTAGCCTTTAAGCTGTAACGGGTCGTAGTCTCATGTCACAAACGAACCGAACTGGCTCCGACCGTTCTTGAGGTAAAAAAACACAAGAGATGGTGTCCCTGACCCTTGAGCCAGTGGTTATAGGGCCTATTTTTCTTAAGCCTCATGTGTGACTGCAGTAGACGAATGTTACATAGTGTTTTTATGGCGCTCCTGGGTGTTTACGACATCAAGACTACGGAGTCGAACCCACTTGAGACAGCTTCGGGCTGAATGCCCATTCTAGAGTACCGGCGGTACGGTTCGACAGGAACGTGCAAACCTTCCGGTTGTACCGTGATAGCTTTTTAAGAAAACTCGAGAAAATTCCCTGGTACGCTCTCCGAACGAGGCTTAGCTAACCGAGTAAAGGGGGGCAACTAGGGGGACAAAAACACGAGCAAAAAGACAAAAAGCAAAACAAAAACCAAAAAAGAATAGAAAAAGGAACAAAAACCATAAAACGAAAAAAGACAGTGACTTTGACACCAGATTAGTTGGATCAAACCTTTATATTAATTAAATAGTATACCCATACTGTTTTACAAGTTCGATCGTTTCGATCAACCTAGCAATTTAAACCAGTAAACTGAATAAAGTGCCCGAAGTGGGGCGCTGTCAAGGGTTTTCAGATAGCTTGGAACTTAGCTGGACCAATAGGAGACTTGACTGGAAGAGGTGACCAGCCGAGTGGGAAAGTGGTTCAGGGACACTTGAGCTGAACCAATAGGAGACTTGACTGGAAGAGGTGACCAGCCGAGTGGGAAAGTGGTTCAGGGACACTTGAGCTGAACCAATGGGAGACTTGACTGGAAGAGGTGACCAGCCGAGTGGGAAAGTGGTTCAGGGACACTTGAGCTGAACCAATAGGAGACTGGACTGGAACAGGTGACCAGTCGAGTGGGAAAGCAGCCAAGAAGGATTTGGCAATTCTCGAGTTCTCAAGTTGGGCAGAACGGGTATCGTTACAATTCACAATACATTATAGGAAATAAGTGTAAAATTGGATAAGCGATATCCCCCGGTTTTGAGAAACGTTTTTACTTGAGCAGGCCTGGAGACAGGTCTACGGTTTTCTCTTGAGAGGTTTAGCACCCGGCGCTTAAGGTGATTTTAGGCTTAAGAAGGGGGGCTAAAAAGGGGGGAGGTTAGAAGGGGGGCTGGTTAAGTTAGAGGTTGGCGGTAGTAAATTGTAAAAAGGGGGGAAATTAGAGTAACTAATTAGTCGACATCGTTGATTTAGTTACATTAGTCATTTACACGCGTTGGTCATAGGAAGCGGATATCCAAAATTGGAATTAGGTTAAGGTAGGTACCCTGGTCGGATCGGTAGGGGGGAACGGACATAGACAGTTTTTTTTGTGATACCCCACAAGATCGCTAGAAGGGGGGAAGGAAACGCGTGGCAATTAGGTACCAGACATTTTTTTCGATAGAAGGTAGACATTTGTAGGTGGGCTCATCTTTCTGTTTTTATTACTTTTTCTTGCTTAGATTTTTGTTGCATTTTGGTGAGGATTTGTGTTAAAATTTTGTACGAACAGGTGATCACAAGATACCTGCGCACAGGTTTTGGTCTCAAGTTACTTGGAACATTGAAATAGAGGTAGCCAAAAAGAGAAATAAGAAAAAAGGGGGTCAGCATTTGGCTTTTAAGAAAGGATTTTGGGAAAATTTTACTAGAGCTTGAGTGGTGGTACAAGGTACGACGAATCAATAAGTCCCCATAACGAGAGGAAAGAAGCCAACCACCCAGACGCTTGTCAACAGTCTTGGGACAGTGCCGAAGAAGTCTTAGGACAGAGCAGTCTGGGGACAGTCTTGGGACAGTACAGTCTTGGGACAGTGGTCTTGGGACAGGGTCTTGGGACAGGGTTTTGGGACAAGGGTCTTGGGACAGGGTCTTGGGACAAGGTCTTGGGACAAGGTCTTGGGACAAGGGTCTTGGGACAGGGTCTTGGGACAGGGTCTTGGGACAAGGTCTTGGGACGGGGTCTTGGGACGGGGTCTTGGGACAAGGTCTTGGGACAAGGTCTTGGGACAAGGGTCTTGGGACAAGGTCTTGGGACAAGGTCTTGGGACAGGGTCTTGGGACAGGGTCTTGGGACAGGGTCTTGGGACAAGGTCTTGGGACAGGGTCTTGGGACAGGGTCTTGGGACAGGGTCTTGGGACAGGAGTCTTGGGACAAGGGTCTTGGGACAATAGTCTTGGGACAGTAGTCTTGGGACAGTAGTCTTGGGACACTAGTCTTGGGACACTAGTCTTGGGACAGTGGTGGTACGAGGTACGGCGAATCAATAAGTCCCCATAACGAGAGGAAAGAAGTCCAACCACCCAGACGCTTGTCAACAGTCTTGGGACAGTGCCGAAGAAGTCTTAGGACAGAGCAGTCTGGGGACAGTCTTGGGACAGTACAGTCTTGGGACAGTGGTCTTGGGACAGGGTCTTGGGACAGGGTCTTGGGACAAGGGTCTTGGGACAGGGTCTTGGGACAAGGTCTTGGGACAAGGTCTTGGGACAAGGGTCTTGGGACAGGGTCTTGGGACAGGGTCTTGGGACAAGGTCTTGGGACGGGGTCTTGGGACGGGGTCTTGGGACAAGGTCTTGGGACAAGGTCTTGGGACAAGGGTCTTGGGACAAGGTCTTGGGACAAGGTCTTGGGACAGGGTCTTGGGACAGGGTCTTGGGACAGGGTCTTGGGACAAGGTCTTGGGACAGGGTCTTGGGACAGGGTCTTGGGACAGGGTCTTGGGACAGGAGTCTTGGGACAAGGGTCTTGGGACAATAGTCTTGGGACAGTAGTCTTGGGACAGTAGTCTTGGGACACTAGTCTTGGGACACTAGTCTTGGGACAGTAGTCTTGGGACACTAGTCTTGGGACAGTAGTCTTGGGACACTAGCCTTGGGACAGTAGTCATGGACAAGAGTCTTGGGACACTGCCGGAAAGTACTGGGACGGTACCGAACAGTCTTGGAACAGGAGAAAGAAGCCTGGGACGGTACAAAGGAGAGTAGGGACGGCAATTGGAAGTCTTGGGACAGTGTAAAAATTGAAGTAAAATTACAAGAAGTGTTTTAAGACAGAATTAAGATAGAACAAGACTAATTGGAACCAGGTACGGTTGAGACCACA